AATGTGTGCTTGTGTTCGAGCTCAAGCTAAACCCCTTGGCTGGTAAACTCACCGAGAAGTGAAGAGAGAGAGATGGAGTTTTAGAGAGAGAGATGGAGTTTGAAAGGATGTCATTTTAGTATTTGTTTGGGTAAAAAATTTATGGTCAAAGGTGTCCAAGGGGTTGTAAGCTAGAAAAGATGGAGACTTTTTGCTTACAAGTAATATTTTCAATTCTTGGGTCTCATGAGATATGGAAGTTAAAAATAGGGGATAAGGAGATATTTTCCCTTGATTATATTCAGTAATTTTCTTTCTCTTTATAGAATCAATATATGTTTTGTTAACTTTAGCTCCTCTGTCATCACTTTAGGATTAAAATTCAGCCTATGAGCCTGTGACTGATTGAATCATCAATCGATTAAGTTCCTAGAGTTGAAACATTTTAATTATCATGGTTCACGGTTCTATTATCATTTTCGTTCAGATTTTAAAAATTTATAGAAACATGTTAATTATCATGGTTCTATTATATTTTTTGTTCCAGATTAATGTTTATTTCGACTGTTTGATGGTTAACTTTATTGTCTTGTATGAGATATACATGCATAGGGCCTGTGTGAACATCCTTGAGATAGGAAATTAGAACAAGGAGTAGTGGTTTGCAAAAGAATTACTCACAGATGGGCCCGGAGAGGGAGGGAGATTTTCTGTTGTAACAATAAGAAGTTGTAATCTCAAAAACCCCCTCCCGTGCTAGGAGGAAGTGTTCATTATGCTAGTTACATTATACTTTCTTTGTTTTCAAAATATATATTATGTTGGCATCATTACAAAGGGATAATTGTGTTATTTATAGACTTCTTTCTGACACTTTTGCAATTAGTGATAACCATGGTTATGCTAATGTCCGTTTCCTATTATAAATTGTCACCTATGTGCATTCCTTTCACTCCATTTCCATCACAAGAAGAAACTGCATTGACTATGGTGTTACTATTGTTGAAAAAACATAATTTATTGATTGCTATGATTGCTTTCATTACTGGAAACCTGTTTTTTAAGTATCCGAATCGGGCTCCTGCTTGCCAGGGCTTCGATTTCAACCGGGTGATTCCCGAGTCAGACAGAGCTATATTTAACAAAAGTAAGTTATAAGAAAGCTAGAAAACCAGGAGATTTGGGCGATTTTGAGGTTCTTTGGCCTGGAATCGCCGGCCCGCCTAATCCGATCCTACTTGGGTGATTCCTAAGTTGGACAGGCAATTTTTGAATCACTGCTGGTAACTGTGTTGTGTCATGAGACTGTGTTGCTTGGATTTATTCGGTTGAGATATTGACTTTTGACAGGGGCTGGTGGTTCGATCATGGGTGATCTATGGGCTTTCAAGGGTTTGTTCAAAGAAGGTAAATGTATCTCTGGTTCTCAATTGCATGTATGCTATAAAGAAACTTTTATCTTTATAGCCAACTTACAATTGGTCGATTGCTCTAATTCTAACGGTAATATTGTCTCAGTGATCTCTTTCTTATGAGCTTCCTGCATGATTGTTCATTAACAAAGTGTGTTTCTTGCGGAAGGTAGAGAATGAGACACCAGGGTGGACACAATTGAAACTTCCTGGGCAATCTCCATCTGCTCGCTGTGGTCACACGATAACTTTCAAAGGAAATCATGTAATGACTTCTCAAGGCCTTTTGTCGTACCCATTCTCCTTTTTTCTTTTTTGGGGGAAATTTATCAAAAAGGAAAGCTTTCTGTCTGATCCCAACGACATAAATTATATGTGACCTCACTTCTCAATTGTTGGATCTGAATCGACGGCTAGGATTGTTCGTCACAATATTACGCCAAAACACTATTTGATTTTATTTATTTTTTCTAAAAATTTTATTTGGCTCTCCTTCATGGGGCACACCTAACAAAAATGAAAAAAATATTTCTCATGAAAATGAATGACCAAAATGGCTTAAAAGTTTGAGGGGTAATTTTTTTATTGCAGGTTATTTTATTTTATTTATCATATGCGCCCCTGTCAGATGTATGGATGCCCCAAATTTCGCTGCAAAATGGTTTATAGATAAAAAATAAAAGTAAACACTCTGAGCTATCGGATCAAGATCTGACACTTAAGAGCCAGCTTGTGACATTGTGACTCACGCCATCTCAGTCATCTACACAGATCTGATGGCTAAGGTCAGGGGTCACATATACCATATATGTGGGTGGTGGCACATAGAAAGTTTTTCCTTAGCAAAATACCCATAAGAAATCAAGTATTTACCAATTCACCCATTTGGAACCATTCCAACTCAAGACCATATTTTTTTTAAGGGTATTTTGAAATTAAAATGGAGAGATATGGGTAAAATGTTAAATAGTTAGTCTTTTATGGGTAATTTGATTAATTTTCTTCTTTTTTTTTTTGGGTATTATGCAATTGTTGCCCATTCCTGTCATATTTTCCTCCTTTTTAGCAAGTCTCATTGTTTTGAACAATTTGAGTTTCTACTGTCTACTGTATGACTAGAAATAGAATCTCTCTCTCTCTCTCTCTTACTAAGAATAATGTTGACGGTATTGTATTAGTGCAGCTAACTAATACTATTTTTGTACAAAATTGCACCAAGGCCTTTCGTTTACAACCAATCCTGTAATTGAAAGAAAGTAAAAGAAGAGAGGGGTATACATGCACAAAGTGTGTCATCCTTGTAAGTACTCTATGCACCCCACCTTGAGATGCAAGCCTTGAGAGCTTTGGCTTCTAAGAGGTAAATAGGGGGAGGGAAACATCACTGAAACGGGAAAGGAGTAAGACGAAGGGGGATGGAGTTGGGATTACACCAGAAAAAACCCTTAGTAATCCAAACCTCGGTGCTTTAGGTGGAAGTTACTCTGGCCTATGGATAGTGATCTACGAGGTCTTGCCCTCCTGTTTCGCGAGTCCATTTGCTATCTCGTTTGCCTCTTGCCAAAATGTGTGAACAAGATAATCAACAAAATAGCTTGGATTTTGTTCAGAGATGTGTTGGAGTCTCAATGGCACTGTAGATGAACCCAAAGCCCATGAGTGCACATTCTTGAAATCACATTCTATCAAAATGGTGTACCCCCTTGCCCAATCAAATAGTTTCAGTCCTTCTTCGCACCGGTTTCTGCAGCATTAGGATTTGTCACTCTCATTGGGCTTGAGAAAGTGAGTAAAACTTGTGCTTGACTACTGCGAAAACAGCCTCCCACCCCTTCTGGACCAGGGTTGCCACTTGCCAAGAAAGCAACAGCCAAAATTTAACTTGATGGCCCTTGGTTCTAGGGAAGACCTGCAACCCGCCCATGTAGCACACATATGATTTGATAGCAAAATAGTCTTCCAATTGTTTAGGAAATCCTTTGCAGGGAAAACAGCAAAAGCCTTAGTGTTTCTTGCCCAGAAAATAACTTCGGCCACAATTGGATAGACAGTTTTCACCACCCTAGTCCCCTGACCCTTGAATGTTTTGCTGTTCCATTATATCTACATGCACCATATAGTGGCGGAGTCTGTGTCTCTTCACATGAAGAGGCCTGATGCAGGGAAAGGGGGAGATAAGCAAGCCATCAAAAGTTGCCCAATGACACTCAAAATCATTCAGCAATGCAGACCAAATCTTATGGGCCTCCAGGCAGTGCAGGAAGAGGTGGTCTGTTTGTCTTCCTTGCAAATGATGCACCTATTTGGCAAAGGGATGCCTCTTCTTTGCAATTGATCCCCAAACCAATTGAATGCCTGAATTTTTGGCAACCGTGGGGGCAGCCAAGCTTTGTTGGTATGGAGGGGTGAGGGCAAGTTTTGAAATGTGATTTGCTTGTGAAAGGAGGTCACTATCACTTGGCGTGGGAGTCCATATCAGCTTATCTCTGCCCAAGCCCAGGATGAAAACAGAGTTGAGAGTCCCCAACAGTGGGACTGGATAGTTGATCTATTTACCATGAGGTCCTTCCAAAATTTTGTTGATCAGATCAGCTGATCTTATAAGAATTCATACGCCATGTACTCCCATGGTTTAGTGCAAAAAGAATCAGAGATATTGCAATTTCATAATAGAAGTGACCCCATGGGAATGCAAAGCTGATTCCCTTTGAAGAGAAATCCATCGTGCAAAACAAAAACAGCACTTGTTTCCCTTTCTTCTTGTGCAAGTTGCTTAAGGATCTTAGAAGTAAGGGTCAGTAGTATAAGTCTGGGGTAGGGACTCAAAACCCACAACTGAGGTGGCAAAAGTACCAAGGAGGTGACACTTCCAGCTGAGGGCATCAGCCACTTTGTTTTGGCTAAGTGTGCTCTTTTTAAGTTAGAGACCCACTTAGCATGCCTACGATTCAGTTTCTTTTGAGGACTTAGATAGATCAAAGCTTCATTGTCTGAGAATAAGATAAATTCTCTTTGAATGAGGTAGTGACTCCAATGTCTCAGGGCTTGAACCACTGCATAGAACTCCACAACACAAGTACAATAATTAATCTTTTCCCCACTCAGTTTCTCGCTAAAGAAGGCCATGGATCTGCCCTCTTGACTTAGGACACCTCCAATTCCCCCCTTTGACGCATCACACTCCACATGGAAGACATTTTCAAAGTTTTGAAGTGTAAGGGCATGAGCACTTGCCATCCTTTCTTTCACCAATTTGAAGCTGTTTTTAGCAGCTAAAGTCCACTCAAAGACCCCTTTCTTCATGCAATCAGTTATGAGTGCTATTATGCTGCTGAAGTTTCTGATAAATCTCTTGTAGAATATTGCTAAACCATGAAAACTTCTCACCTCAGTCTCTATTTTGGGTGTCGGCCAGACTCTAATAGCTTCTATTTGGTAGGATCCATCTTGACCCCTTCACATGACAGCACAAAAGCCCTAAAATACTAAGTTATCAGTCAAAAATAAATATTTTTTGAGGTTTACAAATAACTTTTCTTTTGAAGGATCTCTAACACCTGCTGTAAATGCAACAAATATCATCAGTGCTTGCACTATAAATGAGGATATCATCAAAATACACCACTACAAACTTAATGATGAATGGGCATAGCACTTCATTCATTACTCTGATGAAAGTGCTCGGAGAATTAGAGGCCCAAATGGCATGACCAGCCACTTATCTAAGCCCACACGCATCTTAGACACAGTCTTCCACTCATTTCTGGGACTTTTACGAATCTGGTGATAGCCACATTTCTAGTCAATTTTGGAAAATACCCCTGATCCTGATGATATATCAAGCATGTCATCTCTCTGAGGGGATTGGAAAATAGCATTTGATGGTGATTTTATTAATTGCTCTACCATCTAAACACATTCTCTGTGAACTATCTTTTGTTTGGAGTTACCACACATCCGCTCATGCTCTCTCGTATCAGCCCTTTCTCCGACAACTCTGTTACTTGCCTAGGTGACCCCTCGTGTTCCTTGGGACTCATTCGATAATGTGGCAAGTTAGGGAGAGGGGCACCCAAAACCAAATCAGTGCAATGTTGAATGGTCTCATTGGTGGCAACTCATTAGGTAGTTCATCAGGTTTCACATCCTTAAACCTTGTGACTAGGGGCTTAACCTTTGCGGGTATTTCATTTAGGCAAGACCCTTCTTTGGCAATCAAAGCATACACTACCCCTTGTTCTTTGTTTTTTTCAACAAACCGGTTCAAAGTAAGGACAACATCTCCTTTCCCACTCTTGGGTTCATGCTTGTTATTCACCTTTAACGGTTTTAAAACAATTTTCACCCCATCTCCCCAAAAAGAGTATGTATTGTGTTGCCCATGGTGTATGGCAGCTCGGTCATATTGCCAAGGACGACCCAAAAGGATATGGCATACATCTATGAGAAGGATATCACATCAAACTGAATCATTAAAAGTTACCTTTCCGAAACCATACTCCTTTGTTGGGCTATGGGTGTCTCTCACATGTCAACTTCAACCTGTTGACAACCTCTTGAGACCCCATATTACTGCAGCTGTCACTATCAATGATAATAGTGCACACCTTCCTAAGGACTGTACGAGTCTGGAAGATGTTGATTTGGAGCCACGGCTCTTCGATCACCTTTGGGGTAGTGAGTAGTTGACTAATTACAAGAAAACCCACCCCTCATTAGCCTCAGTTTCAGCAACATCTTGCTCATTTTCCCCTACCTGGTCCTCATTGAATACTGGCCCTGTGACAAAGTCTCCTTCATTTGCATCATCCCCATCTAGGACATGTGTTCCAGCTTGCCATTTCCGGTACTCGTACAACCGGTGGCCAACTTCTCGTGTCCTTTGATTTGCCACTTGTCCCCTTTGAACTGTAGTTGATTTCCAGCCACTTGTTCGACTATATTTCCACCAAGTCACTATCTTTACTTTCCCCTTTGCACTTGACTGGCTTGCACCTGTTGCCACCGTATTTTGGGCATGCCCCTTAGTCAGGTAGCCACAAATTTGACCTTCCTTTCTTCTGGGAAATCTTTCCATCCGAAGAAGGCCTCCATACTATCTAACCAGTCCAAAAACTCATTGAGCTGAAATTTTCCCGAAAATTCATGGACATCCTCTCTCACTCCTTGATCCAACCCAGGTAGGGCACGAACCAACCTATTTTCTAATGAAGGGTTCTCCCTTCGGTTGTGGAAAGGATTTGTACTTTCTTCACTCGATTCCCCTCTTTCGTGAGTGACCGACTCTCGTTCAAAGTGGGCAAGTCGACCCACCAATTGCCCCATTTCATTGAACCTCCTCAGTAAGTCCTCATATTCTGCCCTTACCACAGCACCCCCACCTCCTCCTCAGCCTCCACGTCCTCCTCTATTGGCCATAATTCAAGGTCCAAAAAGATTCCTGCTCATGGTACCACTTGATGCAGGAGAGAGAGAGAGAGAGAGAGAGAGAGAGAGAGAGAGAGAGAGAAGAAGTAAGTAAAGTAA